GGTGATTACATTCATGATTGAGATGATTTTGCTTTTAAATAAACTGGGTTGTAATAATTTTTCATGAAATTCCGAGAACTTTCTTTCCAATCAGATAGTAGCCCATTTCTCCTGCTGAATGTATTAAAATGCTCTCTATTCCCAATATATAATGAAATTTTTTAAGTTGTGAGATTCCAGGGAATTAGGGAGATCTGTTATGGATTTAATTGAGACTTTCTACGAGGTTCATTCGTTCCCTAATTTTCCCTGGAATCTCACAACTTAAAAACTTTCATTATATATTGGGAATAGAGAAAATTTTAATACAATTTTGATAGTTGTTCGTGCTTCCACAATACTTGGGCCTATGGCAACAGTGACAGGCTGTACATCATGGCTACACATGAGCAATGCTTGATTTTTTTATTGTGCTCTAACCCAAGGTATACAGCACTGAGCTGAGAAATGATGTTTTCTAAGAAAGAACTGGAGATGGCGCGCCCATAGGAGTATAGGGAAAACAAGGGGCATTTTGAAGCTATATTGGTTGGGTCTAGGCTAAAGCGGGCCTGCGGTGCGCATTGGGCAAGCAATGGAACAGGTACCGCGGGAACATTGGAGCAACCCTTCTGAAAATTGAAGCATTCCTTGCCAATACCCGCCAACACCTCTACCATGTACCGCGTGGTCGCCCTTCGTATCCTTTAGCCGGTAATGGTTAATCGCGTTCCCCCCCGAGAAAGCTCGTACCCCCTAAGGAAGGCTCGTACCCCCTAAAGCAAGCGCGTACCCCCTAAAGAAGGTTCGTACCACCCAAAGCAAGCGCGTACCCCCCGACTAACACTTCCGTGTCTCCTCCCAGGCGGCCATCCTCTTCCTCGCACGGATGTCGCATATGCGTTCTCTATCACTTCTTCCTCCCCCCCCCCCTTTCCCCTCTCCCTCTCGTGTCCATGAGCCCACCAGGGCCATGTATGTAACGGATGGACGAAATCCATGAGTGTGAACATTTTCACTCCAAATAAAGAATGCAATACACATATCCATCCGATTACCCTAATACCCACACAGTTCAAGAGGATGACACAACATGACACATCTCTTTGGTCCCATGTACTCAAGGGATCATGTGGATCCTCAGCTGAGAGTAACCCATTCTAGTCCCACATGAATATGGGGGAACCTGGACCAAACTGTGATACAAATTATCAATTCCATGCTGAACGGTGTAAATACTCTTCGTGCTGCAAAATTTAGCTGCATTAAGATTCGCACCGATGAGGGAGAAAAAATTCTGCCTATTATGGATTTGATGCTGTCCACCACCGGTTCCGCTGCAAGATCGTGGGAACGGAAGAGTTGCGGAGGGGGAGATTTTGAAAGGATTTGGAGATAATCCCATGATTGGATGGAGACGAGAAAGAAGGAGTAAATGCAAAAGAAAGTCACAATCAGATATATTGAATACATTTCAGAGAAGAATGAGGATTTTGTAAAGAACGAGATACGTTATCGCCAAATCCTTCCGAAACCTCCCCCTTCCGGACTCTTCCGGTCCCACCAACTTCCTACCCTACTCCTCCTGCCCCTATAAAAACCGTAACAGTTTGACTAGCAACTCGAGTTCAACTTCACCTATTCTCTGCTTCTGGAGTCGAAGTTGAAGTTCAGCTCTTCTCACCCCACTTCGCCACACCGCATCACATCTCGTCCTTGCATCTCATCTGACCTCACCTCGTCGCATCTCATCTCACCCTTTAAACTACGCTGATATCGCTAAGTCCTGCTTTTGCTCTTTTCCTCAATATTTTCTACCATAAGTCTTGTTTTGTGCTGTGCTCCACATTTTTTCTTACCTCTATTCTCTCTTGCTTCGTTTTTCTTGCTTTTGTGCTTTTTTTTTCTTTCTTATTTTCAAGCATGAGACCTCAGGAGTTTTACCGTATTCTCTCTACGGACGAACGACTTTTGGAGTTCCTGCAGCAGGAGAGACTCATGACGCCAATCAGAGAGAGGATTTGCCCTATTTGCAACCGAGAACTTCGACTCAGGTCAGTCTTACTGTCATACAACGGTAACCATAGTCATTTCATTTCTACCGTTGCTGAAACAAAGATTTCAAATGGAGGATATTAAGTCTACTACCCAGCTAACAATTTGAAATACAACATTGATACAACGTTGGTCCAACCTAGCCTTGTTTGCTGGGTATTTTGCAGTGACATCATTACTACGAGCTGACTATGTTGCTGACATAACGTAACCGGCACCATTGAATAATTTCCTACAGAATCAGGAAGAGAACCACGATGACCGCCTTCATAACTAGATGCGACGGTTGCAAGAATGAACATTCTGCCCTGAAAGGTTCATTTTTCGTCCATGAGGACCAGAATGGGAGGACTCAGCGCCGTATGAGCCCAGGGAAGGTGCTGCATCTACTGTTTCTTTGGAGCGAAGGAAATGCATGGTGAGCGCGAATTTATTAGGTTCTTGCATTGCAAAGGTTCTTGCATTGAAAATGTTATAGCTTTGCAAACAAATTTGAATGCATACATTCCTTCTTTTTGTTATAGTTATGATGATTTGGTCCGTCAATGCCAAATGTCGAAGCCTACTGTGGTGGATTGGCTCAACTACACAAGGGAAATTTTGCTCAATGAGCTTGATTCCTCCCCACCCATGGGAGGACCGGACACCGTGGTGCAAATGGACGAATGTCTCCTGAGGGGCAAGAGGAAGTACAACCGGGGGAGGCTTCTTCTGGGGGACATTGATGTGGAACCTGGGAGGAATCATGGACACACCATCGATGGCCCGTGGGTTTTGGGCCTTGCCCTGACAGCCAGGAGGGACAACCGTGATCGTAGCAACGAGGAAAACTGCGATCCCCACATGAAGACCATCGAGGTGCGATGCTTCGTGGTGGAAAAGAGGGATCGAGAAACACTTTTCCCTATCATTTCCAGGAATGTTGCTCCTGGAACACAGATTTGGACTGATGGGTGGGCAGCATATGCTGCTCTCCCGACAATTGGTGAGGGTTAAAAAAATATAGAACTGTATGCTCAATCATCAGCGAATTTTTCACCTCGAATATTTTTCACACAGGATATCCACACCAGTGGGTGAATCACGAGGAGAACTTCGTGAACCCCGTAAATGGTGCTCACACCCAAAACATCGAGCGCTGTTGGGTGGAAGTTCGCAGGCTAATTCAGCGAAACCGGAGGGGGACAACACCAGGTCTGTTACAGACTCACCTGGCCGAGTTTTGGTTTCGGCATCGGTGCCGCATGGAAGGAGTGGACCTTTTTGAAGGGCTCCTCAATGTGATCAAGAAATTCTATCCTGTGTAGATGTGTGCCCTTATTGTTCCCTATTGATGTCTTAATTTTTAAGTTTTATTTTCATGCTGTATGTGTTTTGCATTTGCATCGCATCTATTTGGAATGAAATATAGCA